TCTCCCCCCCCCTACTCTCTCTGTCATGTTTTGGTCACGCTTCAAGCTTTCCTGTCAGTGAATTCTCCTGCAGCCTCCCAACATTTTATTTATTTACTCTCCCTGCAAGAGCTCTGATGTCTGTCTCGGCGCTGCTCCTTTTATATCCCACCTTTCCCTCACTTCTCTTCCCTCTGCCAGTCACTTGTAATCACCTCGCCATTACTTAAGCACATAAGGTCTAGCCAATTAGTCCAATCATTATTATAATTACAGATCACAGAGGCATGATCGGGAAGGTTAGGCAAGGTTTTTGGCCTGTGTCTGCACCCTTCGCCGGGGCTGAATAAGTGATTATTCTCTGCGAGCCCAGGAATAGCAAAGAAGTGACATAAATTCTTGCTGAAGTTTCCGTCCTTTGCGGCTTAATCATGTGTGCTTCAACTATTAGCATGCTTCACCCGGGCCATGCATCCACTTTTAACACATCGCTTTCTGACAGTTAGCAAGATTTTGTGCAGTTTCCAATGTCAGCATGTCCCCGCAGATATGCTGATCTGCATGGAAATAGCTGTTTGCTCAACATTCGCCGCTATCGGACAGACGGTTGAACTTTTCTTGCTCCTTCTAGGCGGCGAGCGAAGCTGCAAACACAGACCAAAAGTCGGAAAAGGCTCTAATTTCTGATAAAGTTTTCCTCCCACCACATTCAGAAAGGTTGAGTGAACTTAAGATATAAACTTTTTCTTTTCTTTTTTTTTTGTACCTGGAAAGGAGTTGTCGCTCTCAGATACACTGTGACATTTGATGCTTCGCCGAGCAGCTGTGCTGATTCTTGTATGACAGATAACAAAATTGCATGGAGGTTTAGATGTGCCCTTTTCCTTTTACTACTTTTCTGCAACACAGTGTGAGTCATGCTGTAGCCCTTCCAGCGAGAGATCTGCTTTAGTTTACGTTGCCCTGCAGTCTGGATTTTCTGAAGAAGAAAAAAAACGCACACATTCACTCACGCGGAGATAAGACTGTTAAATTTAAGATGCCGCGATGGAATCGTGCCCAGCTTTACCGCGTTATCTACAGCGCGGAGCTATTTGCATGGAGCACATGCATGGAGCGCCCTTGTGTTGGCGTTTCATCCCATTGTTGCGTATGAGTGGTCGTCCTCTGTGGAGCAATTTTCCTTCAATTTCGTCACCGTTTTCCGTGCCGTCACACGCTGCGTCGGCCACAACAATGCGCATTGGGCTTCGTGCCACTCTCGTATAATCTCCGATAGGATTTTAATTTCTGCTGGAAAAAAAATAGATTGTTCCAGAGAGATGGCTCAGCGCGGAATTAGACGAAATAAATCACATTAGCCTGTCAGCTCATAACGCGTTTTTATCAGCGGATCTCTGCAGTGATCCCTCGGAAACAACGAAGCTCATGACTGGGCGTATTCGTTGTTTATGGTTTATGGATCTATTTATTGCAATAATTGGCTCCAATCGTCACGTCAGAGGCTTGGCTTCGTCGACCTATAGGAGTTTCATGAGGCAGAGCCCTGATGTCGTGCTGCTGCATCGACTTGTTTCAGAATCCGATCATATTCACTTCAACTGCCGTTTCTCAGCTGATTGTCTAAACGTCGAACCAGCCGACGCTTTGTTGCTGCTCGAATGCCAAGAGAACTGACAGAACGGGGCCTTTTTTCTGCCAGATCCATCCGTATAACTGTTGGATATAATGTAAATGGTGAACACTTTGGCACGAGTGTCTCTGAGTAGAGCTTCAAGTGTCTTTTATGCTCTCTTAACCTTTGCTTCATTTTTATTTCCCAATAATTTATCGTAAGTCGACTGCGTAAAGCCTGCCATTGATCTGAAGCCGTCGTCTTCTGCGTGTAGATCGGGCTTGTTCCTTCTGTCGTGCGCTCGTAAGTTAGTTGTTATTTCTAACATTTAATGCTGCGGAGTATTAATAGTTGAAGTCTGGCATCCAGGGTTACAGTAATTTTCTGAATTTTCTAAATGTCAGATGACTAAGTTGGCAAAGTTTCAAGGTTTGCATGGTAATGTGACGCCTACGGTTGAAGTGCGAGCACAAAAGAGACGGAAGTGTGTTTGCAAATATCGGATTCTTTCATTACAAGATGTATAAAATGAGGAGGCGATGAGTCGACTTAGACGACCAAGGCTCAAGAAACTGGTACAGTAGAAAACCTGATAAACCTTGTAAAGCCTTCAAGGTTCTGGGTAAAGTTTGGATGAATTTCACAACTATTTGCTTTTAACTTTGCTTTATTTTTCACCTCTTACTGGCTATTTGTCCAGAACACCAGAGGCCTATGGGGGTCATGACTCTTAAAGCCATTTGTCATCCTCAAGAAAGGAGGTTGAAGTGATTAAAGGAACTGTATCAGTGAATTAGGAGACTTCTGTGTTGAAGAAAATCAAGGATAATGGGAACCTTGCCGTGATAAAAATCAATTCAGGAACCAACAGTTCCTCAACACGTCTATCATGTTTAACCTCTCCAGTCTGTGTTATAAGCTCATAAAGTCTCGCTAAATAAGAGTAAATTGCCTGTCATCTCCACTCTGTTCCTAACTGACCTAATAACAGGGCTCTTTGGGTCCCACATGCAGCAAAAAAAAGGAAAAGAAACGTTTTTCTTGTTAAAATTTCTCGCCGTTGCCTTGACTTTTGTGGGTCAGAGCGGTGCACTACTTTTTATTCTTCGCCGGCTTCTTCATACCTGATGTGTTAAACAGTCACTTTACCTGTTGCTGTGTTGCAAAGATGAAGCTAATTATTTAAAAACGCTGCACAATGAGGACAGAGAGGACGTGGCTGGTGCAGAGGGGAGAGGTCCTGAAGTGCAGGTGCAGGGCAGGACGACACCGACTGAGCCGGTCAAGAAGAACAAGCACTCCGCTTTAAAGAGTCGTTCAAGGAGCCTATTCTCATCACTTATTAAAATTAAATTCCTGGCGGCGTGATTAGAATTTGCTCATTTAAACAAACCTTTTAAGTTGCAAACACTATTTTTGATGAGTTGCGTAATAATGCTGCTATCAAGTTAATATTATATGCAATTTAAATTAACATTTTCTACATTAGTTGACTTAAAACTAAATTTAAGTTGAGGAAACTTAATCAAATTGACTTGACAGCTTAATTTCTTTTCACCTAGAGTTCAGGATTTCAGGTCCGCTCCTCTATTTTAACATTTCCGGTGGTTAAGATGCGTGAAAAGGTTGCGAAATTAAACATATATTAACAAGAATCATAGCTTTTGTATACCACAATTACACGACTATGCTCAACTGCGATGTCCCCAATTAACACGCGAAGCCATGTGGATAAAAATCGCTCCTTGTTCCTCTCGTCTCTGCTCGAGGTGTCCTTCGTCGTGGCCGTCGCATGGCCACACTGCTAACTAACTATATCCTCGCTTCTAATGACTGTGGGTAATGGGCAGCCTGGTAAATAGCCCTGATTGCTCTTATCTGCAGTCTAATGATGTCTTGGTCTCTTTTCAATTAAGGTGGGAACGAGGTCACTAAAAGGTTTGCTTCATAGCTCAGCCATTCGGCTTCATTAAAGCCTTTAGCATGTATTCATTAACGCCACAGCCACAGGTCCCAGAAGCGCTTGCTCTGCTTCACTCTTTCATCCTCTATAAACTAATTAAGAACTTATTAATCCTCTGCTAACAGCTTGGGCTTTGGACCCTTTTTGCAGAGTCCCACTTGGTTCCCATTTCTTTTTTTTTTTTTTGGTTTATCTTTGTGCGAGCCAGACCACTGATGAGAGAAACTTTCCGGCCTGTTTGGTCTTAAAACTCTCACATTGAGCCATGGGGCTTTTATTTATTTGTTTTTTTCTGCTCTGGGTGCTTTATTTGCTAAAGTGCTTCAGTTCCATCAGCGGCATGCTTGGGCTTACGCAGAATTTAAGATTTCTTCTGGGGATCTAATAGATCTAATAGATGGATTCATATACCTCAGATTTCACTTTTTTTTCTGCAGCAGAGTTTTTCTTGTATTCTTACCTTTTTATTATTATTTTATTGATTCTTGATTTGTGCTTTATTTCGCTATAATCTTGCTTTGTTTGTAAGACTTTGGCAAAGCACTAGCAACTGAAAAACTGCTTGAAATATTTTTTTTTTACTATTTCGAGGCAATTCAGCTTATACATAGACAGGTGCAGAACTTTACTTTGCTATTGAACCCTTCCTAAATTAGATAAAGCTGAGCCCCTCCAACTATAGACCAGAAGCCTGGAGGACATCCAGAGTCATCCATACCTGCTGACTCCACCGTCTTGACTTGTTACTGTAATATATTGTGTAAATTTTGTGCTTGTTTGATTTTGTACTTTTTGCTGAACACGCCCACCTGCTGCACGTCGCCACATTATTATTTGATTTACAAGAAGCCAGCTCTCCAATCTGCTGCTCCCCGTTTTTGCATCCTGCGGTGATGCGTCGTATCGGTTCTGTAAGATTTCACTCATATCAAAGTTCATCTGTTTCTGGATTTGTAGGTCAGAGGGAAAAAGAAAAAACAAAAACGCCTCAAGGTTGCTCATAACTCAGAGTCATTTCGCCAACCCCAAAGCTTCTCCCCGCGCTGTTGTCAAGCATGCAATTCACCAACGTGTCGTGGGCTCCATTTTTATCTGTCACATTCGTTTGCGCGTGATGGCCGCTGATGCTCGGCTCATTAGGAATTCTCTCCCTCCTCCTCTTCCACCTCCTCCTCTTGCTGCTGCTGCTATCGTGTCTCCTTGAGAACCGAGAGGCTGCGACTCTGACTCACGTTCGCCCTTGACTGGCATCTTTTTTTTTTTTTGCCATTTATACCTCCTCCGACTCCCCTCGCTTTTAGATGTTCCTCGCCTAACTTTCGCTCCTTTGTTCCGCGCCACCGATTGTTCTTTTGCACACTACCTTTTTCGCAACTTGTAAATCTGATTCACTGGTTTCTCACTGACCCTTTCTTTCCCTCTTCTCTCTGTCGCTTTCCGTAGGAGCTGGTGGGCAGCAACCCTCCGCAGAGGAACTGGAAGGGAATAGCGATCGCCCTTCTTGTCATTCTGGTCATCTGCTCGCTGATCGTCACCTCCGTCATCCTGTTGACACCAGGTACACGGCGCAGGACGGAGGCGGGGAGGGTGGTGGAGGTGGAGGGGGTCCACTACACCGTACACTACACGCCGCCGCTCTGTTTATTATTATGCACAGACATGCCCATTAGCTTTCACAATCAATCCCGGCGCAAGCAATGCAAAGAATGAGGCGTCCGTGCAGGCTCCCATCCACCCACTGTAATGTCACAGCTAGCAGCCACATGGGTGCTCTTTGCTGTAGCGTTTAGTGAAGGTCGGTAAACCTTCATCGAAGTCAACTTGTGCAACATTACTTTCGTCATAAACGCCGCTCCCGTATGCCCCCTTCACTTACTCCTGTTTTTCTCGCGCATTTCGGTTATTTTAAGGCGTCTGATTTCCGAGTGACCTTCAGGATTTCTGTTTGCAGGTTCAGATTAATCAATAGACCAGCTGTTTAGATTAAAGCTCATAAAGCTCCTCGATATGTTTTTTTTTATGCACTGCCAGAGTCGAATCCGTCAATACGACTGTCACTGTGCGCGCTGTAATTCACTTACAAAGACAGTAATCACCGTGCCCTTGTTTGTGATTTACTGTCGCAGAAAATTGCAGGTAATGTCGCCCTGAATGTCGGGGGTGTGGTGCCAAAGCAGGGTCAGCGATTATAGAAGAAATCCAATGTTTTTCTTTTTTTCTACGTAATCCTTCAGGATTGTAGACAGGTGTCCGAGCAAAAAAATACCACCAGAGTAGATTTTCAGTGCAGGTGTCAGAGCAACAAGGCCTAATGCTCCTCGCCGCCTCCCGGCTGTGGCCTCTTCCTGTCCTGGGGTGTTTGTTATTGGACTCGGATGAACTCGGTGCCGCTTTACGTGCCGCCTCCAAACAAGGCGGGACAGCGGGAGTCAGGCGGCAAGCGGAGGCCGGGCAGGTGGCGTCTCCAGCTTGTACCTCGGCCTAATCTGTCCCCTCCCGGTGTCGACTTTGTGTGCTCAAGCAGAAACGCTGTTCCGCTCCGACTCTTGACACAAGCCGGCTCCTTTAAGCTACTGTGTGGCCTCAAGCAGACTTTGCCCATTAAACTGGAAGATAGAGGGTATTTTTTTTTCCGACGCTTTTGGGGTATTAAAATAAGCTGTGGGCTTGTGAAAATCTGGTGCTGAAAGTTTGGTGTGGTTTAATTAGGTATCCTAAGCTCCATGAATCATTCCTCAAGGACACTGGTTTGTTTGTGCAGACGGTTTATTTTACTCCTTGGGGTTATCGTGTTGGAGATGGACTGTTAATTGAATCCATGGATTCTGCAAAGTCAAATATATTTGGTGCTTGCAGAGATAAAGGAAATGTCCACTCTTAACTGCTCTTCGAATGGGATGTTCATGCTTGACTTGTTAGGTTTTTTTTTTTTTTCAATTAACAAACTACAAATTTGTGAGTTTTGGTAAATCAGATATCTCTTATCTACAACACAGACTCTTCTATACGTTCGTTGTCAGGATGTTTTTCATAGCTTCGGCTTGGTCCCATATTTCCACTAAAGATAAATCCTATAAAAAATGTAATAATCTAAATCTGCTTATTCACTTCCTTATTAATATTTAATTGAGAAGATCCTTGTATGTCTTTAAGCTAAAGATGAAGCCACTGCCAGCAGCTGGTTATCTTAAATGAGCAACTAAACACTGAAAAGAGATAAAAATGTCGACTTAATCTGTTAAAAATGAGCAAAATTAGGCCTCAGAATTTACATGTTATATTTTGTTTGCTTAAAATCCTCCTCTGGGCATTAATGAAGCCCTTAAAAGCTCATCTCTGTGAATCAGAATTACATATTTATACGGTTTTTCTGCATTAAAATGGCTCAGATCTCAGAAATCTCCGCCCCTCAATCCATCAACTGCAGCTCAAGCACACCAGCTCACCCTTTCTCAAATTCTGTGAGACGCAGTGGCAGTATGTTGTAATACTGGAGTAACTTCAGTCAGACATGTTCAAATCAGAAGCTGATTCTGAATAATGTTAGAGAACGACCCGAGCTCCAAATTGTCACGCTTGGTTCCTTCGCTTTGTATAAAACTGTGAAAGACTAGCATGTAAAAACACCTAAAAACTTGTTTTACCCTGAAGGAGGGGCTTCTAGCTCTACAAAACCTGAAATGCAGGAACAACAAACTGAGATTTAGATGCCAGATAATCAATAATAATCACATAATCAACCAACAAACTGTCTAATAAGGTTTCACCTGGTTCTGAAATCTTGTGGGAACCTTTTTCATAAGGCTGGCTGCTTTTTGAGCTGCTCGCGGTTTGGGAACATTTAACATATTCAGCAGTGACGCGGCTCACAGAGGCATTAGTATTCTCCAGGCGGTGCTTGCTGATGGGTCGATCAGCGCCTGAAACACTCTTCCCCCCCCCCCAGATCTTCCAAACATCAGATTTTTCTGATGAGGCTGCATTTGACAATTTTCATAACTCTCCAAAACTGACAATCCCGTATTCACTCCCATTGCGCACGATAAATGACTGAATGTGATCGCATGACAAAGTGAGTTTGAACTCATTCTTGGCACAAACCCTGACTCTGCATTCAGGTGGCCACCGTAGCACCTTTTGCGCTGCATATTTAATAATTTAGGTCCTAATGGATGCTGGATTCCACTTAGTGCACTTAATAACGGAGGAAGTACGTATAGAATTGACTTTTTTTTCCTGTCAAGAAAAAATATATAAGCAGAGAGACAACAACGCTGCAGTTTGCTGTTACCTTGCATTCAGATTACACATAATTGCTGAAGGAGGTGTTTTATGTCATCAACGGAGATCCCATTCTATATGGCTCGGTGGTCTATTCAGGCTCCTGTCAGTGGAGAAACTGTTATCGCTGCCTCCTAAGACGAATCCCTCCGTGTGTGACTGAAGAAAACAGAAGGCCTTGATTCTCAGTCACTGATATCATGACTACTTGTTTTTGCTGTAGTTGTTATAAATCAGCCGGGGGAACGCTTGGCCACTCATCTGTGTGAATGAGGAAGGATTTAACAAACAAACAAACCAAAAAAAAAAAAAGTCACTTAATCCTAAAAAACCTGCCAAAAAATATATTTGAATATGTTAGATCCCAAAAAAAGATTTTCAGTCAAGAAAGACCAAAGCAGTCGTACTTTCTTTAAAGGTGCACCGCTAACATTTACTAACACTCTCTAAATGCTTTCGGGAGATTTTCCTATTTAAAAAAAGGCCATTTCCATTAGTCAGTGGGAGCAACTTATTTTTGCTCTAATTACACTTCAAGGAGAAACGTTTTGGGAACAAAGCCGCCCCACTCCGAGCAGCAAACTGTGGCGGCGAAGCTCCTGCGAGGAGTTATGAGATAGCATGTTGTTTCCACTCAGTTAGGAAGAAGGGTTTGTTGATGGATGTTCCCTCCCAGACAAGCCAGCCAGCTTCTAACTGCATCCGACAACCACTTTGTTCTCACACACACACACACACACACGCCAGCCCGGCACACACGCAGAGTTTTGGACTCCTTCGCCTTTTTCCTCCTCTGACAACCTGCATCTGCTGTAACCGATAGCTCCACATTACTAAGAGGTTGCTCTGTTCTCCGCGCCGGTACAACTAGGTCAGATGTTTCGCTATTGGCATCTGGGTATTCCTGCCGACTGAGGGATGTCAGGCTGATTGACAGAGTGACAGCTAACGGAAACCGTGGGAGGATCACATGCTCCGCTAATTTGGTGCAGCTGAAAGCAGGCAGTCACAGAGATGATGGCGTGAAACGGAATCTGGAATTACAGCCTCACGGGCGACAAAAATGGCTGCTTTGGTGGCATTCAGTGCTTTGTGCGTTCGTGTTTACGCTTGTGATTGTGATGAGATTTATGAAGGCATTGTAGGCATGATTCATGATTCTGACATTACACAGCAGGATTTCCTAAAGTCGGCATTTTCTGAACGGATAATCAGCTTCAATCAATCGCTTCATTGTTAAAATGCACGAGGTGAAGTGGACGATTTTTG